AGGAGTGACTGAAAGCTATGAGGAAGGAGGAGGAGGGCTGGATAGCCAAAAAGGGAGAAAGATACATCACCACCTTGGAGTACGATACAGTCGGAGCACCACAAAGGGGACAAGAACTTCACACAAGAATCTGAAATCAACACACAACAAAAACTACTTCCCAACTCTGAGAACGGCAATTATAGACTCTTACAAGAAGAAAGAAGAAAAGATATAAAGATGGAAACTTTCGTACAAAAAGAAAGGGGTGGGGGTCCAAAAATATTCATAAATCTGCCCTAAAAATACTGCTAAATGAAGAAAACGGGGAAAAGGAATGAGATGCCCTGACAGCACTGCCACCCTTTTCCAAGTGCTTGATCCAAGTGAGAGATACAAAAGGAAGGTCGTCTGGGCCGCCCGATCCTTTTGGAAGCTTGGACCGGCCCCCTAAATTGGCCCCCATGCCAACCGGTTTAGCCGACCATTGTTTCCCCGTATTTGGGCAAAAAGTTCCTGCACCTGCTTCCTGCATCTATGAGGGGACGCCCCACGTCAGTCTCTTCGTATGCTGAGTAGCATTTAACTAAAATAAGATTTAATAAATCCTATAAATCAGAAGTTAGTGAATTTTGTGAGGATCAAGTCTTTAAAACTTTTTGATATGAACATGTTAAATGCAATTAAATCTAGTAAATTGTATGATTACTTAATTTAAAATTTAAGGGTTTATAATGTTATTGTTATTATATTTACTTAACCTATATCATCTTTAATTAGATTAATTAAATAATAATTACCATAACATAAGACCCGAATAAATTACTAATTAGTAATTTATTATGAAAATTAGACAATAACTTCTGTTAAATCAAATTAAAACATAAATAATACTAAGTTGTATCGGTCAATGCTTTTCAAGTAATTAATTTTTATTATTATGCTAATTTATTTTTTAATATAATCAAATTTAATTTCTTTGATTAACTGCTAATAATTATGATTAAGAATTTTAAAATTTTAGTTAGAATAATTAAATCCTAATTATCATAGGATAGTATACTAATTAGTTATTAATTGGTACATTAATAAATTGATCAAACAATATAATTTTTCCACTTTTAGGGGCGTTTACATACATGCCACCCAATTCCTATGTAATTACATATCTAACACCTAAATTTTGCCTTTTACATTTATGCCACTCAAATCTTTCATATCACATCACATAAAAAATACCACTATTTTAAACCTTAAAAGGTAAAATACACTTTCTCATGCATAGATAAGGTAACCATATATGTAAAAATTGAAGTTAAGGTGTTAGATATATATATACGTAAGAATTGAATTGTGTGCATATAATTCTTCCATCTTTGTTTGGCGAAATTTCATAAATAATACTTACCTACTTAAGTTAAAATACTTCATTAATTAATATTACTTATTATGATTTATTTTACTTTTTAATTAGTTAAAACTTAATGCAGCACAGCTCTGAAATTATGTTTCTTCTCCTGCTCTAAGCCAAATTCTTGAAACCCTTCCATGACAAAGAAGTGAATAATTAACAAAATGAAGGAGATGCTGAGTTTGTGAAACATGAAATTAAGTTAAATCCAGCGAATTTCCAGATTTTGTAAATCCCAGAGTTAAGTAAAACTAGGAGGAATGGGACAGAATTCTATAGCATATCTGCCTAACGGTCCCTAATTTTTTTACAGTTTTTTTAAACAAGGACATTTATATAATCGAACCAAACGTCCTTTCCCTATAAAACTACCCGAAGTTTAATTTATAGGCATTAAGTGATTATAAGTTTATTTTAGTTACAAGCATCTCCCTCCTTCCCTCTGAATCAAGACCCCTTGAGTTCTTTCACAAAACGCATACCTCATTCAAAAAACTGCGATACATGGTCTTAGATATTTGCGTGTAAATCGAAATTTTTATTTGGACTACTTCCACCTACAAAATTTATAAACTAGTCAATTCACATCAATCCAAAAACAGAAAAATCCATTTTGCATCTTTAATGATTATGGTTTATTGATAGGGCTAAAGACATGCGATCACAAATTAAGCTCAAAGGCAGATTCTTTTCCTCAAGTTACCATGCAATGGAAGGTTAAACACTTGGCTCAAAACAAGGATCCTCATTACCATAAATACTCTGGATGGATAACATAGAGACCCATCCCATTTTACGTGCTAAATAATAAAATTGGTGGTGAAGTCCGCCGCATCACTGTTGTTTATGCCATTGTAGTTAGGGACTTGCTTATCATTCCCATCAAGAACAGTACTCTCCATGCACTAAAACGGATATACAATTCAACAACATAAATTTAATTTATTATAATTAAATGAGCATATGACACTCAATAGAATTTAATGGAGAAAAAGGATTCATATAGCCGACCCCACTTAGTGGGATAAAGGCTGGAGGTTGTTGATGTTGTTAAGCATAAGCATGCATGCATAGAAATGTTGTCCTCTACATCATGCTATAGAATAAAACAGAAACGGAGTGAATAGTGAATAAAAGATAAATGAATGGTAACGGGAATATATAAAGTTCTTCGAGTCTTACAAGGCTGCTTCAGAAAAGTTGAGAATATCAGGTTAAATACTTCCAACCGTGATAAAAGAATCTCCTCAAGCACATCAATCAGCGTACCCATAAGGAGATTGGCCTCCTGCACGGATAAACAACAATCACTTGCATTTTTTTGAGAAATCTGTTGCACGGCAACTGTATATAATTATTACATAACCAGAACTTGGCAGAATGATAGCACGCAAAAGTTAACTTTCTTATGCAGTGGATAACAAATTATACAAAAAATATGTAAAAGAATACTATTTCGAGCAAGCACATGTTTTTAACTTAATAGTTTATGATAATATTTACCAAAAAAAGAAAGGAGAACGAATTGGTGTAATGATGAGTATTCAACGGATGGAAGCAAAAGAAATGTTGTAACACTCATTAAAAGAAGTCAACATGCAAAAGAAAAGATCAAAATGGACCTAAAGTTCACACAATTATATACATATATAACCATCGGTTTCACCTCATGGCGAACCCTAGCTACGATATTTCTCGCGTCTCATTTCTTCTATTTCACCTTCGTCGTCGGCTTCGTCTTATTGAAGAGCTCGTGTCGTCTTCTTCTTTCGTAGCGATTTCGTTAGTCTGCATCGTTTGGCTCGTCTTCTGCGGTGCTTCGCTGTAGGTTGAAGGGCGCCCGACTGACCCAGCTCGACAGCTCGCGTCGTTTCTAGTAGAGTTGAATTCGCAAGGTTTTTCGCGTTGTCCGTTTCTGTCGTCGGGTTGCGTCGTCTGTTCCCTACAGGCTGAAGGGCGTCGACCCAGCTCGACGCTGCGCCACGACAGACCCATGTCTATGTCCTTTCTGCTCAAGTTGAATTCGCAGGGCATCTTTAAAGGGGTTTTCTGCTCGTGCTCCTTGTTTTATGGCTTTGCACTTTCCTCTTTGCTTTTCTTTTTTCAATGTTCTTAACGCCACACCTCCATCCATTGGGGATGGCTTCGGACAGATCGTATGTTGCTTCCCTTGCGGATGTCCATGCCTCAAGTACACCTAAATCGTGTTATTTCCCTCATTCGTTTGAGAGGGAGGAGGATATCAAGAAACCTGGTAAGAAGAATGGGAAACCTACCATTTTTTTTATAGAAGCTGAAGGTATTCAACTTGTTTCTTCCTGCCGACTGAATTTAGTCGGAAAATTTCTGTATGACCATCCCAAAATAGAGGTGATTCGTAAGGAATTTGAGCCTATGCATCTGGTTGGGGAGTGAAAAATTGGACTGTTAGATGGAAGAAATATTCTCATATAAATTAATAATGAAAAAGATTACACACGCTTATTTGTTAGAAGGATAATTTGGATTGACAAAGCAATGAAGATTCTAGAATGGACTGTGAATTTTGACCCCCAAACGAAACTTCCAATCATTCTGGTTTGAATTTTCCTCTCTGCTATAAAATTTCATTATTTTACTCGAAAATTTTTGTACGTTATTGCCTCAGCTTATGGTAAGCCACTCAAAACGGACATTCCTACTTTTAATCTTTTCTGTCCATTTGAAGTCATAGTACTTATTGAAAGAGACATCACTTCATCTGTTTCTTAGGAAACTTGGTTGGACACACAACATCATGGATATTAGTGATTGAGCATTTTCCTTCGTATTGTACGAATTGTCGTATGTTCGGCCACTCCAGTTCTCAATGTCACCTACACCTACGCCTCAGACCAAAAAAATACAGTGCTCCGCTAGAGACAGTGATTTCATCTCCTCCTAATCAGCTCCAAGTTATTGACACTATTGATCATCAAAAGAATACCCCCGAAAACGTTACTATTCTTGCAGGTAATATGACAAACATTCAACCTTCTTTGGAACCTCCTATTAAGGGTGAGAGGGAGATTATTCAAACCCATCTAGCTCTAGAACCTATCATCGATATTACATGTGGCAATACTTCCGCTGCTTCACAACCGCCTCATCAGGTCGAGCAAGCTGTAAATGTTGCTCAGGCTTATCGGGATCATGATGTGTAACAACCTACATCTGTTCAACAACCTTTGGAACAATCTATTATTCAGATAAGTCAATCATCGGATGAAGAATGACAGGTCTACACATCCGAGAGGAAGAAGAAGAATGAAGAACTAATTGAACTTAGAAATCTGGATGATACTTTTCCACCGACGGACATAAAAGTGTTAGGGACGTCCCACTTTAGTCCTCCCTCTGCCACTAGTTCCCGGAAGGGAACCAATTAACAAATTGGTAAGGTGTGTACCATTACCCGAAGTAACCAAAATATGATCCATCAAATTTCTAAGCTCAAATAGGTCTCCATTCTTCTTCTTCCTCCGAGATATGTAGAGCTGTCATTCATCATCCGAGGACTCACTCATCTGATCAATGGATTGGTGCAAAGGTGGTCGGACAGGCGTAGGCTCTGCTACGACTTCCTTGCTTTTTAATGGCGAACCCGAGCAACTGTTACGGCTTCGTTGCTTCTTCTCCCGCGTCTTTGCGCCTGATTCCGTTTCGTCTCCCGGTCATCCGGTCTCGCGAGTTTTACCGGCTTTGAGACGCGGCTCGTCTCCCGTCTTCCCGTCTCGCGAGCTTTTCCGGCTCTGTGGCTTGCCTTTCCGTCTAGCGAGTACAACTCGCGATTTTTGCTCCTCTGCTGCTCATCCTGTCTTACAAAGTGCTCTCCTTTTCAGCTTCGATTATTTCGATGCGATTTTTCCCGTGTTTATCAGAGCTGTTCTCTTCTCTGTTCTTAACGCCATACCTCTATTTTTGAGGATGGCTTCGGACATATCGTATGCAGCTGCCCTTGCGGGTGTCCATGCGTTAGATATACCTAAATCGTCCTCTTTCGCTCCTTCATTTGAGTGGACGGAGGACAGCAACAAACCTGGTAGGAAGAATGGGAAGTATGCCATCTTTTTTGCAAAAGCTGAAGGTATTCAACTTTCTTTCTCCTGTCGTCTGAATTTGGTTGGGAAATTTCTATATGGTCATCCCAAAATGGAGCTTATTCGCGAGTAATTTGAACTTAAGCACTTTGTTGAGGAGTGGAAAATTAGATTATTAAATGGGAGACATCTAATTGGATTCAGCTGCCCTTGCGGATGTTCATGCCTCAGGTACACCTAAATCGTCCTCTTTCTCTCTTTCGTTTGAGTGGACGGAGGACATCAACAAACTTGGTAGGAAGAATGGGAATTCTGTCATTTTCTTTACAGAAGCTGAAGTTATTCAAGTTGCTTTGTCCTGTCGTCTTAATTTGATTGAAAAATTTTTATATGGTCATCCCAAAATGAAGCTTATTCGCAAGTAATTTGAACTTATGTACTTTGTTGGGGAATGAAAAATTGGATTATAAGATGGGAGACACATTTAATAGTATGCAGCTGCCCTTGTGGATGGCCATGCCCCAGGTACACCTAAATTGTTCTCTTTCTCTCCTTCGTTTTCGTTTGAGTGGGCGGAGGACATCAACAAACTTGGTAGAAAGAATGGGAAGTCTGCCATCCTTTTTATAGAAACTGAAAGTATTTAACTTGTTTCTTCCTATCGTCTGAATTTGGTTGGGAAATTTCTATATGGTCATCCGAAAATGGAGCTTATTCGCAAAGAATTTGAACTTATGCACTTTGTTGAAGAGTGAAAAAATTGGACTATTAGATGGGAGACACATTCTTATTCAAATTAATAATGAAGAAGATTACACGCGCTTATTTGCTAGAAGGATAATTTGGATGGATAACAGAGCAATGAAGATTCTGAAATGGTCTATGGATTTTGACTCATAGACGAAACCGTCAATCATTCCAGTTTGGATTCGCCTCTCTGGTATGAAATTTTATTATTTTTCTCAAAAAGTGTTCTACTCTATTACCTCAAATTATGGTAAGTCACTCAAGACGGACATTTCTACTTTTAATCTTTTCCGTCCATCTTAAACCAAAGTACTTGTTGAAAGAGATTATTTCTTCCGCTTCTGAGGAAATCTGGTTGGGCACACAATACCATAGATATTGGCAGAAGGTAGAAATTGAGCATTTTCCTTCGTATTGTTTGAATTGTCGTATGTTCGGTCACTACAGTTCTCAATGTTATCATCTACACCCCCACCTCAAACCAAAAAAACAAAGTGCTCCGTTAGAGGCAGTGATTCCATCTCCTCATGATCAGCTCCAAATTATTGACACTATTGATCATCAAGAGGATACACCTGAAGACGTCACTATCCCCGCAGGCAATATGTCAACCATTCAGTCTCCACACAATGTTGTAGCTCCCCCGTCTTTGGAACATCCTATCATGGAGGCGAGGGAGATTCTTCAGACTCCGTCGACCCTAGAACCTATCACTAATATTGCAGGGGGACATACTTATGTTGCTTCATTACCACCTCATCAAGTCCAGAAAGATGTCATATATATATATATATATATATATATATATATATATTAATAATTTCATTTATTCCAAATCTATACTTATCTAAGTTTAATGTTATTGTTTACCTAATGTCGTTGATTTCCCTAGTCCACAAAGACGGACATGCAACTGTTGATGGAATTTTGGAAGCATTGACGAGAATATAATTTATGCACAATTTTATCCTCGAGGATGCTTAGGCAGATCCCAAAGAGTGAGAATGCACGCCTATACTAAGAGGTTCCTCGTATATGATTTTCATGTCCCATTTTGAGTACATAGTGTTTAAAGAAATAGCGATGCATTCATACTCTAATTTGTCCGTCAGCTGCGTTAGTTGAAGTTTGTCTCATTAATTCAATCTAAATGGATACAACATGAAGTAGTTATAAAGCAAAGCCAATAATAGAGTATTGACCAAAATACTGGGAACAAAAGAATACATGTAAGAAAGGTAAAATTTATTATGTAAAATGTTGAATAACATAATTCACTCCTCAAAATTCTAGAATACCAAAGTCATTAAACTAATGACCTGCTTAAGTCTAATAAATATCGGAGGATGAAAAATCTTTTTTTTTCCTATTCTGCCAAAGCCTACTTAAGTCGACTTTAGTGTACTCTTCTGTGGTCATTTTTGCAACCTAAAACATTTTAAGGTGTTTATTTTGCCATATTTTCCATGTGTTATTTTTAGCC